CAGAGATTTTGTGTTTGTTACATCTTAATAGCTGAGTTCTTCATTTCATCAGCTTTCAGAGATTTTGTGTTTGTTACATCTTAATAGCTGAGTTCTTCATTTCATCAGATTTCAGAGATTTTCTGTTTGTTACATCTTAATAGCTGAGTTCTTCATTTCATCAGATTTCAGAGATTTTCTGTTTGTTACATTTTAATAGCTGGGTTCTTCATTTCATCAGATTTCAGAGATTTTGTGTTTGTTACATCTTAATATTTGGGTTCTTCATTTAATCAGGTTTCAGATATTTATTTTATTTTGTGGCGCATATGTTTTGCATTTATGCCAAACGTTTTACAATATTAGTTTTATCGAAAATTTCACTGCGCTTTAATTTGAAGGCGAAATTAATGTTTGCTTTTGTATTGAAAACAAAATATAACATCTCATCAAAGCTGAAGTTATAAATAAATGATTAAAATAACTGCAAAAAAAGAAAAAAGAAGAAGAAGAAGAAATGAAGGAGAAATAATTATTTAATTAACGTTTCAACCAAAAACTTACTTCAGAAACTAAGTGGCCAAACATTTGACAATTTAAATCTTTTTGTATTACAGAGATTGTATAATTTCTTTATAGTTTCATATTTAATCTCGCTTTAGCTGCGCTTTGTTTCTTATCTCGTAAAATATATTTGATGACAAATGATAGAATAAGTAGTTATTACAGTTGAAGTTATCTTTTTTAAATGACATTTCTTCACGCCTAGAGCTTCAGACAAAGCTGGATCTTTGTCCCGTGGTGGACTTGGAAGAAGAGGATGACGAAAGCACTCCTGTTGTTGCATCAGACACTGAAAAGCTCAAGAACCAGGAAGATGTTTCGCATACTTCTTCAACAGTCACGGATCCAGAAAGGGAGAAATTGTCGCCCCAAGAAAAAAATTCCCCACATGCTCTAGTTTGTTTATACTTTATTAACCATTAACCACTTATTGGTGTTATGACATACTTTACTAATCATGTGTTTGTATTGTGAAATACATTATCAACCATTTGTTTGTGTTATAACATATGTTCTCAACCATTTGTCTCTATTCGTATGGGCCCGGCAATCTGAGGGTCACGGGTTCGAATACCCGTCCCACCAAATATGCTCGCCCTTTCAGCCGTGGGGGAGTTATAATGCTACATTCAATCCCACTATTCGTTGGTAAAAGAGTAGCCCAAGAGTTGGCGGTAGGTGGTGATGACTAGCTGCCTTCCCTCTAGTCTTTCACTGCTAAATCAAGGATGGCTAGCGCAGATAGCTCTCGTGTAGCTTTGCGCAAAATTCAAAAAACAAACAAACAATCTATTGTTATATACTTTATCAACCACTTGTTTGTGTTGTGAAATACTTTCTGACCCATTTATTTCTGTTGTGACATATTTTATCAACCACTTGTTTGTGTTATAATAAATTTTATCAAACCACTTGTTTATGTTGTTTCGTACTTTTATAACCATTTGTTTGTTTTGGTGTACTTTGTTTTGATTTTCGTGCAAAGCTACTCGAGGGCTATCTGCGCTAGCCGTCCCTGATTTAGCAGTGAAAGACTAGAGGGAAGGCAGCTAATCATCACCACTCACCACCAACTCCTGGACTACTCTTTTACGAACCAATAGTCACATTATAACGCCCCCACGGCTGAAAGGGCGAGCATGTTTGGTGGGACGGAGATTCGAACCTGCGAACCGCAGATTGCGTATTAAATGCCCTAACCACCAGGTCATGTCATGCCCTTGTTTGTATTGTAACATTCTTTATCAACCATTTATTTGTGTTATGACACATATTATCAATCACTTTTTATGTTGTGACGTATTTTATCAACCACTTGTTTGTGTTGTGACATACTTTATTAACCACTTGTTTATATTGTAAGGTACATTATTAAACTTTTTTGTTGTTGTTGGGTATGACATACTTTATCAACCACTTATCTATCGTGTAGTAATTGTTGGCAGAAATAAATGTAGACCGTTAGGAAACTTGTCAAATTGCGCTTTTTCCTATTTATTTTATATTGAAATGTTGGCTTGCTTGCAGTCTTCAATATCAATAAAGTTTCAGCTTGAAAGCAACAAATAACTAAAATGTTTAGAGGTATATTTAACATGCACATAAAGTTCATTTTATAGCAGTTACTAAACATCTTAGACTTCATTAACGCATACAACTAACTGTAGGTTAAAAATAAATCAATAGCTCTATCATTTAAGACGTTTGTTTATTTGTAAAGGTAAAGGACTTCTCAACAGTTTCAACCAATGACGACCAGGAAGAAGCTTCGGTCAAAGAAGATCAACTACAGAGTAAAGACATTGGGGAATTGGAGGAACTGCTCGATGATCTACCAGCATTTGCCTTACAGCCATGTCCTCAAGGATTGACTGTCCAGTGTCATATATCAAGAGATAGAAAAGGGGTAGACAGGGGTCTTTTTCCTACATACGTCCTGCATCTGGAAAAGGATGACGGTAAAAAGGTTAGGCTTAGTAGTGTTATAACAGAAATGTATTTTGATAAGCTTTTCAATCATTTCAATCGCTGACTCCTTTTCTAAACAAAGGACAATCTCGCGAACCCCGTACTCAGATAGGCCTATCCAAGGACGTAGATCCCACAGTATGTAAAAGCTGCACCGATAGAAATAAGTATGTAAATTAAGGAAATTTTCAAATTAAACATTATTTTCATTTAATTGAAAATGGTATTTTTTAAACTGTATAAAAACTCAATCTTCACTATCGCGAATGCGCCCCAGCGGCATGTCTGCGGCCTTACAACGCTAGAAACTGGGTTTTGATACCCGTGGTGGACAGAGCACAGGTAGCCCAATGTGTAATTTTGTGCTTAAACTACAAACAACTATCGCGAACCCCCCTTTGGGCTACTTACGGATCCAAGCTGAGAACCATGGCAACAGACTGAAGTCAAACTGCTAAACGACATTCTCGTTCAGTATTTGTTTGTTTGTTTTTGTTCTTGTAAATATTTGTTGGACTTGAAGTTTAGTTTTAATTACTACATTTGTAGGTTACTCCGTAATACAAAAAGTAGTAATCTTCTCTCATTTGAAGAAGAAGATTATCAAGTACGCCCATTTGGGTTAAAAGCGTTGTGCAGGTTTGCTTGTTGGTAAGTAGAAAACTACACCATGGGTTATCTGTGTTGTGCCCACCACGAGTATTGAAACTTGATTTTTCACATTTCGACCCAATAGACTTGCCGCTGAGCCCCTGGGGGCACAGCACAGGTGTTTAAATGTTGTTGTTGTTGTTTTTTCCTCACGATATGATGATCACTGATGCATGTAGAATCATCCTACATAATCTGATAACGATAATATTAGGAATAATTTTAAAAGTAGGAATTTGGACGTGGAAGTTCAACAGCTAGAGAGAATAAATATTCGTAGCAAAACTAATATATTTCATCTTCGTCTTTAGGTATTCCTCCTAGCGGCCCGAAAGAGAAAAAAGAGCACAACTTCGAACTACTTAATATCTGTTGATTCGACAGACTTATCTCGAGGAGGAAGTTCATTTGTTGGAAAACTCAGGTTATATATGTTTGTTTGTTGGAAAACTCAGGTTATATGTTTGTGAAGTTCATTTGTTGGGAAACTCAGGTTATGTGTTTTTTTTTGTTCACTTGAATGACATCATATTCACGTAATGGGCTAAATAGCCAGGTAAAGATACTCCTATGGAAGGCAAACAATCGGTAGCGTCCGCCGCTTGAAGCGTCTACTATTAACCGAATAACAGGATTGCCCACGGTAGTACCACGTCTCAAATTCAAAACCCTCAGATTCCTAATCCGATACGCTAACCCACCAGGCCACGCCCGGGCCCGCCCAACTGATGTGTATTTTTTTCTAATTCTCTCCTTCGTTTCCTCGTTTAGTGATTTCTATCAAAAAAGAAAAATAAATATCGCAAAGTATTTTATACCTTCAGTACAAACTCAGATCTAAGTTGGAAGAGCTGGGCTGTTCACACTTCAAAAAATTCCTCAGTTTTATCATAGTCGCAACGTTGAAACCTAAAATACACTACCTTATCATCATCTGTGTCTCAATTTAAATGTGAACACATTGATCATGACTTAGTGATCAGCATGCTTAGGCTTTGAATCCAAGAGTTCGTGGTTCGCGTCCTCTTGCACAATAATGCTCTCCTCACTTTGGATCCATGGATGCGCTATAAGAGGGAAGGTCAAATTCTTACATTAGGTCAGATAAGAGTTTGCGACGATTGACGTTGAATAGTTGCCATCTTTCTAGTCTATCAGCTCAAAATTATGGATGGCTATGCGCAGAAAGACCTTGTGCAACTCTGTTCTAAAATTCTAACAAATAACAACAACAAAAAAGTTTATAGAGCTTAATTTGTAAGCACTGTATGGTCTATTTTCAAGCTATCTTGGTTAATAATTGGCTTGCACGTATTTTTAGCCTTTAGTCCTACCACAATCACTTCTATCCAGAGGCGTTGCTAGGTGCTTAAAAGATTCGGGACTCGGGCCCATAGGCGCGGGAAACTAATGCAAACATGACAGATAATAATACCCCCCCCTCAATAAACTAACTAATGCAAACATGACCGATAATAATACCCCCTCAATAAACTAACTAATGCAAACAAAATGATCAAATTGACTAAAAATTTTGTTTTTCTTCCAATGATTGTTCCAATCGTAATTACAATTTCAATAATTCAATAAATAAAAACTGGCGATAACTTCTGTATTTTACACATTTTTTTTCCATGGTGTGAGTATTGTTTCAACGTGTGAGCTGACATACCGTAAATGGTTAAATACATGGTGTGATTATTGTTTCAATGTGTGAGCTGGCATACGGTAAATGGTTAAATACATAGTGTGAGTATTGTTTCAACGTGTGAGCTGACATACCGTAAATGGTTAAATACATGGTGTGATTATTGTTTCAACGTGTGAGCTGGCATACGGTAAATGGTTAAATACATAGTGTGAGTATTGATTCAACGTGTGAGCTGGCATACCGTAAATGGTTAAATACGTGGTGAGTATTGTTTCAACGTGTGAGCTGACATACCGTAAATGGTTAAATACATGGTGTGAGTATTGATTCAACGTGTGAGCTGGCATACCGTAAATGGTTAAATACATGGTGTGAGTATTGATTCAACGTGTGAGCTGGCATACCGTAAATGGTTAAATACATGGTGTGAGTATTGTTTCAACGTGTGAGCTGGCATACCGTAAATGGTTAAATGCATGGTGTGAGTATTGTTTAATCGTGTGAGCTGGCATGCCGTAAATGGTTAAATACATGGTGTGAGTATTGTTTCAACGTGTGAGCTGGCATGCCGTAACTGATAAAATTCATGGTGTGACTATTGTTTAATCGCGTGAGCTGGCATACCGTAACTAATAAAATTCATGATGTGACTATTGTTTAATCGTGTGAGCTGGCATACCGTAAATGGTTAAATACATGGTGTGAGTATTGTTTCAACGTGTGAGCTGGCATACCGTAAATGGTTAAATGCATGGTGTGAGTATTGTTTCAACGTGTGAGCTGGCATACCGTAAATGGTTAAATGGATGGTGTGAGTATTGTTTAATCGCGTGAGCTGGCATATTGTATTTGACTACGTTCATAATGTGAGTATTATTTTAAAGTGAAAACTAGACGTACAGGTGGAATATTTTTTGATTTTCATTTGTAACAAAAAAGTCCACGAATGCATATAAATACATTCGTCTTATTTTTCTAAACTTCGTTCATAAATAACATATCTTTGTTAGAGAAGTTACTCGAATGTTGTTGTTTTTTCAGCGCTAAATACTTGTTTCAGTCATTTCATAGTCCTTCTTTCACCAAAACGAAAAAATATATACTCTATAAAAAATTTTAAAATACGTCAGTATTAATGAATTGGTTTGATCAAAACTAGATATTCTAAAAACAAAGCAGAATACAAAATGTAAGAAATATTTCCTAATTAGAAGCCCGTCAGTGGCACAACGGCATATCTGCGGACTTACAACGCTGGAAATCGGGTTTCGATACCCGTGGTGGGCAGAGCACGGATAGCCCATCGTGTAGCTTTGTGCTTAACTTCAAACACACCTAATTAGAACAAAAAAATTATTACATATCTCGAAGTTAATTACTTTATACTAATGAACAATAACTGTTGTGTTGGTGTTTGATTTTAGAGTGAATATACAGATTATAGGAATGCAATCTGAAATCACCCTTTCATTTCTTTGGAGTAGATCGAACATGTTTGGTACTTCCTTCACCGTGTTCGACAGTGTAACTGACCTCAAGGAAGGAAACGTTTCGGACAACCAGGCCAATTCAAGATGTGAAATTGCTGCTGTAATATACGTGAGTGAAACGTTAACACCGAATAACAAGAATTTTTATAATAATAATAATTTCTGGATCCTAATTTCTTCTAATTAAGAACAGTTCAGCAAAACACAACTCATTGGCTTTATATATTTTTCTGTATAATTTCGATAGTGCTAGCATATGTTCATCTAAAGCTGTCAACAGAGTAATGCACGAAACGTTATCACCACCCGTTACTGTCTTGCATGTTATAAAAATCTTACACCTTGCCTTTATCCGGATCAAAGTGAACTATGCTCTGTTGCTTAGGTTAAGGCTTGCAGTGAAGATAGTTCGTGACATCCTAAGGTAGAAGGCTGTCTGTGAATCAAATAGTGGCCTAGGACTGCCCCAGTCTTTCACTTGAATTGCAATGGACAGAGATCATGTTCATGAGTAACGTGACGTGGGCAACTTGGCTTTGTTACGGTTATTGTATTTTTAGAATTAAATGTCAGACACTCTTCTATTATGCAGAGATTTTTTAATGAGATTCTTATCTTTAGTTACAGATTTGGTAAATATAATCTTTTTGTGAAGTTTTCTTAGTGTAGCTTTGACTTTAGAGACCTTTCCTCTACTGATATTTTGCTTCAGTTTAACTTCAGGGGTTGTGTTTAATTTTTATTTTATCTTTCCGTTTTTCTTTAGTTTACAAGAGGATGCTCACACGGAAATTGCGAGAGAGAGCCAATAAAGATTTATTTTTCAAATTGCTCTCTTGCCAGTCCAACACACCCATACTTGTCTTTTGTTTCATTTCATTGTACTGTGTTTGTGTTTTGATTATTGTTGTCAATTAAAGAGTGTAATTGTTACATTTTTGTGCGTTGATTCAGAGTTCAGATATTAATGAACATATACTCTGCAATATGATAATGAACAATACCAGATATTTGGCCTCAGTTTCTCCCGATGAAATAATACCAATACCATGGATGTTACCAGATATTAGGCCTCAGTTTCTCCCGATGAAATAATACCAATACCATGGATGTTACCAGATATTAGGCCTCAGTTTCTCCCGATGAAATAATACCAATACCATGAACATTACCAGATATTAAAGATCAGCTCTCTCGTTGAAACAATACTTATAACAGTGAAAAAAATTAGTGCCCCTAGCCTATGTTTGATATTCTTTGAATTATAAAATTAATTTTTATAACATCGTTACATTTTTGGCATTTTTAAAGCCCAACAGTGTTGAAATAAATGTAACACAATACAATATTTAGCTATTTTTTGAATAGTATTAATATTAAATCATAGGTGGCGAAGAGGTCTCTTAGTTTAACATATAAAAAAACACCATTAAGAGTGGAGCTAGTAGTCAATTAGAAAATCAAGTCTTTGGCAAAGCAAAAATATGGAAACTGTAAATGTTGTTTACTTGAGCGACTCTTTGCATTCAAACTGAACAGAAAGTTTGAAATATTTACATATTAACTCAGGGGTTAGCAAACATATTGAACCGTCGTCTGCTGCAAAGTTAATGAGAAATAAGCCCAAAATAGGGTAATTATTTAATAACACAACAGGTGTCTATCTTTATGTGGTTCTTTGATGATACATACATACAAACATAGGTGTCGATCAAGAGGGTTACAGAAGAACAAGTCCTCTTCACCCTTTGCAATATACAAAGCTGGCCACACATATTAAGATCACACGATTTTCTATCGTCGATTTATGTTACAAACTAAATGTCAAAGACATCGGATTTCAATAGGGTATTCCTGTTGTGAAAACCATCACAAGAAAGCATAAAGCATGTATTTCTCAAGGCTCCCCTTATTTCAGATAATGGGCCCCATTGTTGATCTAGCTATGGATGTTATAAATATTTTTTTTAAGAATTGAAATAATATTAACTTTCTTATAGTCGGAAAATAACGTGTATAATAGTAATTAGTGGCTCTTGGACTTTCTTTCAATTCAAACTAAAATACAATCCCCTTCCCACCTTATAATACATATTGGCACCATGACATCTACATTGTCTACTTCTAAAATTAGTTTATTTGATTTTGACAAAAATAACTTACTTTGTCACTGCGAAATCTAGTCCTTTTTTAAGTTTCTCATTGTTTTTCATTCCTTTTTCTTTTCCTTGGTTAATTGTGTTTTCTTAGTTTATTTTAATGTGTGACAAGGGTTTTTCGTTTATATTTGACACTTTTGAGTATTTTGTGTCTATATGCATTGTCTCAACTTTTCTACGTGCATTCTCTGGGTTATTTTAGCTGTTTTATTGTTTTTTAATATTTTGAAAAACAAGAAGAAATAAGTTAAAGCTCATTCAGAATAGAAAACAAATAATACAAGGTTGAATACAATACATTAAAATGAGTTTGAATTATTAAGTTACGTGAGAACCACAGCCGATATAAAATTGTGGTAGAACGGCATGTTATTAAAACTATATTTTGACATTGTTGGAAATTCATAGGTTGCGAAATTTCAGTAAAAATTTATCGCTTTTGGAAAGAGTGTATAACAACCTTTTTTGATGCAAAATGTTCATACTCTCAGATCATAAAGATGTGTTCATATCGGATATTTAGAATTTAGAAAACGAGGATATCCCTCATATTTAATGGAATTGGAAAACAAAGGAAAATGGATCGACTAGGGACATAAGGATCATCCAGAAAGAGATCCGTAACAAGTCGCACCCAAACCATGGAAAGAACTTTGCGATCTTCATCAGTAAAAGCGACACAAGTTACATGTACACATAACGCATCCATGACCTAATAGTTCAACAGTCGCATACCTCAGTCAGCTGAAGAATTAAATAGCCATTCAAGGTATTCCATATAAAGACATACTAGTCAAGTGGCTGGATGCTGGGAAATCGTTATCCTCGTATACTAGATGCACTATGGAAAGCCTACAGGGAGCAGGGTTGTACTCTGAATATGACAGCCTTCCAAAGGAGCTTTATGCAGTGTAAATTACACTACAGGATTATTAACAAGATGCATGGTTGTCAAACTGGGCATGACTGGACGAGGCGACATGGACTGTAACAACGTGATTAGGCTACAAAATCGTTTTAATATAATGTACTCAACCTCAATATTGTTTACGGGTGAATCTCTTATAAGGCATTGAACTCTAGGATACTATTTGAGTATTATTTAACAAATTAATCAAATACACTCTCGTGGTTGATATTTTATTAAAAACAAGAATATGATTTTCAGATAAAATGCTTAATGTTATTACTACTTTGAGAGTCTGTCTGTATCTGTACAATAAAGCTTTTTTTATGTTAAAATTTAATTAGTTCATAAATGTTGTTATGCTTAAGTACTTCTAAGCGAATTATTGATACTACTATTATTATATGAACTTAAAGAAGTTTTGTAAATCTTAAACTTAATTATCACATCCAGATTGATACATCCCGTCGCAAAGGCAAAGTTGTACCATTCTAGTGCCCGGCATAGTCAAGTGGTTAGGGCGCTTGACTCGCAAGTCGCTCGCCCTTTCAGCCGTGTGGGCGTTATAATGTGACGGTCAATCCCACTATTCATTGGTAAAAGAGTAGTCCAAGAGTTGTCGGTGGGTGATGTTGATTAGCTGCCTTCCCTCTAGTCTTTCACTGCCAAATTAGGGACGGTTAGTGCAGATAATCCTCGTGTAGCTTTGCGCGAAATGCAAAACAAACCAAACCTATTAAAAATATATAGAAAATAAACTTGTAGTCGTTCTTCCATACGTCACAGTTGAAATTTATTAGACAAAAACTTTGATTTGTTTAATTTTATGGATAAAAACAACTGAAAATTGCAAATTTTGGGTTGATTTAGCGCGATTTTAATGAAACAATTAGTGTTCGTAAATTTCCTGAATTTTTTTGAGCGCTCATAGCCACCTAGGAGTAAAATCAAACTACTTTTGAACAAATCAGCACAAATTTGAATTTGAACTTCAATAAAAGTTCAGTTTTAGCCATTTTAGCCAACCCCAGTTCATAATGTAATGAAATTAACTATTATTTCAGCTATACATTAATTTCAAAAAGTCATATGCTTATGATCTAAACAAGTAATAAATGCTCTTTTTAATTTTATATACCAGTATGATTTCCATTTGAGCGGATATTCGTGTAAAGATCGGAACCAAGTGATAAAACCTTAGCTTTGTGATATATTGTTAGATTGTTTGCTTGCTTCAGATCAAAGCTACATTGGACTATCTGCTGTATCCAACGCGGGGAATCTATCCCTGGATTTTAGCGTTTAAGTTCGTAGACTTATCGCTGTCCCTTTTCTGTTTGTTTTATATCAAAGCCACATTGGGCTATCTGCTGTATCTACAGTTGGGAATCGAACCCCGGATGGGAGCGTTGCAAGTCCGTAGACTTACCGCTGTCCCACTGGAGGACATGTTGCTTGAAAAAAATAACAATTTTATGTACAACTTCTGTCACAGTTACAGTTTTGATTTTTTTAAGGCTTGCAAAAAGCCCGCTTTATCATTTTATAATTCATTTGAATTATGATTTGTAGTATGGCAGGAGAAGAAATGTTTTTCATGGAATAAAATTTGGTAGGCTTAGTTAAATAATTTTTCAATAAAAAATAAAATCACTGTAAATACACAGCGCTGAAATACAAACGAATATATTTTATCTAGTGAAGTTTCGAGCACAATCTAATTGCGATTTTATTGGTTTCAGAACATTAGTATCAGGACCTAAATGAACCTTTTACGTTCAAGAACTGTCGTTCATCTCAGCATGTTTATTTACTGCATAATTTGTTCCACATGCAATAAGCTATATATTGGAAAACAAAAAAACTTTGATTCCGTGAACCTATTCAACAAATCCGAATAGTGTGTTTGTTATTTCTGGCCACCAGTAGCACAGTGGTACGTCTACGGACGTACAACCCTAAAAACGGGGTTTCGATACCCCTGGTGGGCAGAGCACAGATAACCCTTTGTGAAACTTTGTGCTTAACTTCAAACAAACAAAGTCTTAGATGTTTTATAGGAGTCATATGTTGTTGATTTTAATTTTGTTCATTTTTAAATAATCAATTTTATTAAAACAACAACAACGTGGAACGAGAGTTTAGAAAGGTGAAACTGGTGTAATTTAAATTAAACAACCGTGCTTTGATTTTGTTCTTCATTTAAAAGCAATCTTAAATCTACAAGTTGTGCTGAGAATAGTCTTACACTGCTAAATTAGTGACGGCTAGCGCAGACAGCGCCCTCATGTAGCTTTACGTGAAATTCAAAACAAAGAAAAAAGAAATGAGAATGGTCTAGGAATAATATTAAATATCAATTCCTTGCCTAAACCAAGAAATATCGATAGGGTCGGTTCTCCATCGGCTTTTTAAACACAGTTTTAAGCTCTTTATGCACAAAATTACTTGTTGGTTCATGACTTTTTTGGTTACAGAATTTTTCTTAACATATGAATCCCACAAAAAATAAAAATAAAATACCTTGAGTAGTACAATTAATCCCTCGTCCCCCAGTCTATAGAATTATAAGACTACAATTAGGAGTTCGATTCTTCTCGGTAGACACAGTAAATAGCCCAAAGTGGCTTTGCTACGAAAAAAACCTTAATAACAAAGTTACTTCTAGAGTTCATTGTGAATTTTACACAGAAAAGGAGGAATTTCACCCGTTTGTTTTGGTCAGTTATTCCTACAAGATCAGTCAATATGATGCAATAATGGAATAGAAAGAAGTCCATAATTTGAGGTTAACGCTTTTTGGATGTAAGCACTAATTTCCCTAACCATTATTTCTCAATAATATTTAACTTTTCGAGCAATAGGGAGATGTATCTCAATAAAAAGCAAATTTCGTGTCTTAATTGTAAAGCAGTTTTATAAACAAATGGAAAATTGTAAAATGAGTGAGAAAAGTATGGGTTAAAGTGCCAATAGAAGAATTTAACGTGGTTTAAAGCAGTGATTAAATTTTACAGGAAACCAATGTGCTTGGATTCAAAGGCCCTAGAAAAATGACGGTCATCATACCTGCGATGGACAGTGAACACAAAAGAGTAGAAACCCGACCAATTTCAGTAAGTCAAGTGTACTCCTTTAAAGCTTTTTATAGATGCATTGTAAAATTAAATTTTTTGATCTGTCTTATAGTTATACCGTATAGAAATGAGAAAATAATTGAGATGGAAACAATTGTAAAGAAAAATAAAACAAGCAATACGCTCTTATCCAACACGTATTCATGTACATACTATACACAATAAAGCAGTAAAAAGCGAGTTAATGCTATTTATGTAGCCAACTAAATTATTTGATTCGTGTTTTTGTAGCCTATATTTTTAACCTAGACGTTTCCAGAAATTTGTATTGTTGTTTAGTGATTCGTATTTTTGTAGCTTACGTTTTTAATTTAGGGTTTCCAGAAATATATATTGTTGTTTAGTGATTCGTATTTTTGTAGCCTACGTTATTTTAATTTAGGGTTTCCAGAAATGTATATTGTTGTTTAGCCGAAAAGAAGTTTGACGTAATGGGTCAAATGGGTCTGGCCTTAATGTCTGGAACGTTCGCGAAGGTTTAGGAAATAGTTTGAGCTATAAAGAAAAAAAAAACGAGTTAGGCAAGAGAAGACATAACTAATCTTCCTGGGTTACAAAGTTAATGAGTCTGTTAACGAGTAATCAGTTCTGATTTATCCCAATAGATGGAGACGTAAGTGCTTTGTCCGAAAGATTAAATGAAATATTTACCTCGTCTACTGTAGGAAATGAACTTATGCACTTGGTCAGACTGTTCGCTGCAATTCATACCTCCAATTCAATATGAATATTTTTCAATAATTACTAAGCATGGGTAATTTTGTTTGTAAAATACAAAGCTGCATAATGGACTATATGTGTTCTGGTCACCAAGAGTTTCGAAACTTGATTTTTAACGTTATAAGTTCACAGACTTACTACTGAGCCATCTTCATTGTGACATCTTCATAGATGACTGAAAATAAATTATTGAATGGATTAGATGAGAAACCTGAATTTTTTGTGCGATATATTGATGATAAGTTCACCCTTCTTTTTACTGATGATAACAACTACACTAATAAAAAGCTTCATCTATGATCATAGATATCTATACATAGTATCTGAGAATAGTTTTTACCCCTCTTTTAAGAATGGCAAGTTTGGCCTATCGAAACTAATCTGTTTTTTCATGTTTTGTTAATTCTTTAATCATTTGTGCATTATTATATAGTTTTTTGTTGTTTTTTTTACAGTTAGTGAAACAGCGCTATCTATTAGCTTTGTATGTAATATAGGTTAATTTTTCGAAAATTATGGAGAACAGGACTGTGTTGTTGATTTACTTGAACTTTACGAACCTAGGCCCTTCTTCAGAATGTATGAATCTATCTAGATCACGCCAACAAATATCAAAGTGCAAAAAATGTAGTGGATCATAGAAAACAGAACTATCAATGCTAAACACGTATCACAGAGAAGGGTTGGCCGAAGCAAAAAAATATTGT